ACTATCGAAAGATTTATCTCCTTTTTTTGGTGTAAAAGGAGTTGAGTTTTTCATCACAGTGCAGACCCACTATACTGTTGGCCTGAGCTACCAAAACAAAACAGGCTCTGGCTTCATTAACTGGGATCCATTTATAAACGTTTTATACATTTTCACCAACGTTTTTGAAAACAATAAAAAAGAAAAAAAAGATTTGATGCTTTTTTGTTTTCATATGATAAGTGCTTAAGTGCTTTCTGTTACAAAGAGCTGTTTGAGTGAGACAGAGAGTAATGGGAGCCGATCATCCCGCCGGTTCTGCAGAAGACGATTGTTTATAGAGCTCCAGTAAAAACGCCAACCAAAGGAAGATAAAGTAGTCCATGTAAACTGACTTTTGAACAAATTGATGTTTCTCCCCAGAACCCAAACACTGAGCACGAGAAAGTATTTAGATGCAACCATCATGCAGTCACAAACGGACTTTCTGACTCCAGTTGTCAAAGCTTCGTTTCGGCACTTTGAGACTCTGAACAAAGAGCTGGATATAAATAAAAACTGCTGAATTCTTTGCGAGCTTGTTCATCAGCTTATAAACACATAACTAACAATTTTTACCTTTTGCCGTGTGGTACAGCACGACCTTAATAATATCTACATGTCCAAGTTTGACGATCAGATCTTTAACTCAGTGGGTGCAGGTTTAGCTGTCCTTATTTGCTGTGCTCTAAGTGGGATGTTTTTTTCAAGCCAAATTGCACAAGAAGGCGATGGCCAAGTTCAGGCTTACCAGACTCAAAAGCCAGGCATCTGAAAATCTGAGAAGTTGCCCTCTGCTGGTCAGTAACAGTAATGCAGACCAAAGAAAAGATCTGCTATTTAAATCCATGCTTATATAGGGTTTGCCAGCAACTTTTGTTCTTCGGACCACCCAATATTAACTTTGGTTAAAAAAAAAAAAATCTTGGGAACTTTGGTTGTTTGTCTGAGGTCCAGTTTCCATGACTGTTGCTCCCCTGAGGAAAACTATTCCCATAATGCATCCTCACTGCCTTTTCTCTGAGAACGCAGGACAATCAGTCTTCCCAACAAAGCCACATGACAGGCCTTGCTTTCCAAGAAATGCAGAAACAGCTTCAACATTGAACAATCACAAACAACCAGAATACTTGTGCCACGTGAAAATAATAAACTTAACAGCATAACACATTTAGAAAGGCTAAATTGTTTAAATTACCTTGTATATCTTTAACAAAATGCAAAAGTGATGTTCATAATTCTTCCATTTCATGCAGCGAAATGGAAAAAAAAGAGAGAAATATCTGAAGGAACAGGTTTGTCACACTATACATAATGCTTTGTTGTTTTGTGCAACAAAGCATGCACACATGGAAACACAAAGGAGATATGATCCCACAACAATCAGAGCATCTTTTACAACGCTCGCTGTAGAACGGCTGAGTCATGCAGCAATTCATCGCTCCCGTGACTCCTCCACCTGTAGCGCTGCATCTACAGGACCTTAAGCTGTGGGTAGGGAGAGGTTGAAGCGAGGTTGTGCTGTGGGCCCACCCCCTCTTTGTGAGCATATACTCACACATACACGGGACATGAGAGGGGGACGGGATATATGCTGAGGAATGACAGAAGGGGAAGAATAGAGAGAGACAACCTCAAAACAAACCTGGCAACAAGTAAGACGGCAGGACTGGCAGATAAGTCAGTCCTGCCGTCTTCCTTAGAACTCTTCGACTTCTAAGGAACAACTTAGAAGTCGAAGAGAGTCAAGATCAATGTTCTACTGCAACCTTTCACTGTGTACGTTACCATAAGATTAATAAGCAGACAACGGATAATCCAGTCATGTGTCATCACTAGCTGTTAGTTTGATCTCGACAGGAAAGGGTGTGATTATCAAAGAGCAGGCCAAGAAATTGGTATCAAAGCTGCTGTCTTTCTCAACAGAAGACCGTTAAAGAGGCGTGGAGACAAACAACAAAGCTGGAGGTAATCTTCGATCATCTTGGCTCAATCTTGGACTGCAGGAAAATGGAAAACTCTCCAACCCCAATTCAAAGCCCAGGTTTTGTTTATGTTAATGGTCAGCCTAATTACAAGACCCGTCGAGCAGTTATTACACAGCAGGGGCGACCTCATATAAGCTTGAGGTTGGTTGGCTCTGTGTTTGCCTGGGTGGGTGACGTGGGTGGCAAAAGGGAAGTGGGGTGAAAAATAACGGGTGGGATACGGGGAGCCGGACCGGGCTGTCCGACCCAACCCAGACGCTAATACCGGATGTGTTCAGGAAATATCTGCGGTCCCAACCACTTAACTTCCACACCGGGAAATTATTAAAAAGCTATGGATGTGGAGCATCATTGCTATCTTCATCCAAAGAAACAGGGATCATCTTAGCTCTACTAGGCCTGGAAAAACCATCTGATGGAAAACTTCTGCTGCATAAATGGAGTATTTGGGTTAACTTTGGGTCCAAAGAGTTTCTCAACTAAATTGACTTTAAAATCTCAGATTTGCAGCAATTTTCAGGTATCTACAGTCTTCAGTGAATAATCTGACATAAAACAACCAAATAAAATGTTACATTCATATCTGTCAAAAAAAAACAAAAAAAAACAAACAAACATGGTGGTGGAAATTGTTCTCTCGTAGCATTTTCATATGTTACACTAAAGGTTTGAGTATGAAATCATTTAAATATGGCAGAAATCTCCATTAGCTGAACTCAGTCAGAGGTTCTGGTACAATCATTTTAGTCATACTGCGTTTCAAAGTTTCAAGTTGGATAATCCAACATAATGTTCTTTAAAGTCAAAATTAGGCCCAATAAAACCTGTGGTTTTAGAGTAGCCCTGAGTTTGAAGCCTAATATGACTGCAGAGCAAATGAAAGTGCATTTAAAGCCACCAGAATAAGCTGTTTATGTGCACTCCAGATGGTTTGCATCTCATTAAACAGAGGCACAAAAAGCGCCTCTGAACTAAGCAGTTTCAATTCAAAATGCCACGCTTTTTCATAGTAATTTTTTCCAGAATTTTGTTTCAATTTTTTCATTGCAATCCATTAATTATTTAGGCATTAAAATGTTTGGCGCAAATTGCCTGAATAAACATGTAAAAGGGAAAAGCCATGAAGACCACATACTGTTAAAATAAAAAAAACTAAACAACGAACAGCAATGCGAGATCCCAAAGTTCACCCAAGTAAAATCTCTCCACTGAAAATCTGCTTCTAATTGTGGCGATCCAGACTCAGAAATTAATGAATCTCTGGATTTAATATTGTGAGACACTTTTATCATGATCTCTGTGGTGGAGGCTGTTCTGGTTTGCACAGTCAAAGAAAAAGATACGTCTACAGAAACTCGCCATTGGTTGGCGCTCTTGATGTGCACAAGACATGTGACTCTTGTGCACAAACATCAACTTCTACTTCCAGCTGTCTGCCTGAGTATTGTTTTATTTACCCTAGTTTATTAATCACAACACTAAGAAATCTGAAAATATGACTTTCACCCTTTGGTTGGTGGAGAGAGTAAACTTTACTGTTTGATTAGAAATCAAGGCAAGTTTTGGGCTTTTCGGTGAAGCATAAAAGCTAAAATAACGGAAGTACATGTGTAGTTAAAGTTTGAGACATTTAAAGAGAATACATGATTATTCAACCCAGATAGTAGTCACAAAGAATCATCGAAGAAAAGAGAAAGAAATCTGCTTTTGACCAAAAGAAGACATGGACATTTGCATAATAGTAAAGTATCCAGTTGTTTGTATTCTTCCATATCCCAGTGGGACTGTCACTAAACAGATTATTTTCAATACTTTGTCACATTTTGGAAACACACACACACAAAATAATTAGTTAAAAATTGCTTGTTTATATATATATATATATATATATATATATATATATATATATATATATATATATATATTTTTTTTTTTTTTTTTAAATAAATGTGGTGGTATTTGGAGAATGTATTATTTCCTGAGTTGGTACAATTTCACCAGAGCACTATCTTACAGAGGGAACAACTTAACTTGACCTCACATCACTGCTCAACTGAACCCAGATAAATAAATAAATAGAAAAACTGAACAAAAACAAAAACAGTATCTCATCAAAGCATGATCACAGTGGGGCATCTGAAAAATGACTTGTACATAGTGATCCTGCTGAGGATTTCACCTCTTTGATCATCTTATAGTACATTATAAATTCATTTATATGTTATGATTTATTTTCCCATTCTTTCTTTTCATCTTTTTTTTCCACATTGTTAAAGGAATTATAAACTCGTCTCCCGGTTCATTGCTTCAGAGCATTTTAAGTCCTTTTTCGTTGTTTTCTAAATCTTAAGGTTTTGGTCAAACTTCCATTTTGAGTTTCGTCCTGAATCCCATCATGATTTACCTTCACCTCTATTTGAAAACTTTGTTTCATTAAAGAGGAAAGAATAAATAACATCTGTCTGTATAGTCCGAAAAACAGCCATGCGCTGGGCTGCAGCGGAACCCCCCCAAAAAGCAAACAAAAAAAGAATCGAGTAATCGATTCAGCATGCCTGGGGACGATTCTTGGCAGACCAAATATTTAGGCAAATGAGGAGGACGCGGTGCGCGCACATGCGTATCGAATTTCCATAAATAAACATCGAAGTTCATGCGAGCTCTTTTCAGCTTGGGGGCATTGTTTTTTTGTTTTTAAATTACAAACCGCCTGAACCACGTCCAGCAGAGATCTACAAGAATCCACTCACGTCGTTGGCACAAGACGCTTCTTGATTCACTCTTATTTGACCAATTTACCAACAGCAGTTCAGAAAACGCCGCTGCCGCCGTCAAGCAGCCAGAGCAACGCCGAACCCGGTCGAAAGGATCTGCAACCAGAGTGAAGAGATCTGACTCGCAGATGAGGATTTGCTGACAGCAGCGAAATCCAAACCTCCGATAAAATGAGCGGAGACCAGAGAGACGCGTTAGAAGTTTGTTTTCATGACTTACCGAGCAGGACGCACACCACGTCCATCGCCACGCACAGCCACTTCTTCATAAAGTCGGACATGTTCTTTTTTTCCATCAAAAAACAAAGTAAAAAAAAAACTTAAAAATATCTACTTGCTCAAAAGAGTAAGCAAGTGCATTTGCGTCCTCCCGCTTTGAAATCAGATCTATTGAAATAAACCTGCAGAACTGGCTCTTCCGGGATCCTCTCCTTTTGCCACTACCTGTGGAGGCTCTGGCCGCAGAGGTGCGTGATTCCTCTGGACCTCTCGCGGCGCGTTTCTGAGCGGCGGACGCGGGGCGAGATTTCAGAAATCCGGCGCCCCTGGGTGCGCATTACTGCTCTGGAGGAAGAACCCGAGGCAGCAACCAGAGTCTCCAACTTTCCTCAGCGCTGGAATCTGTGTCCCGAGTCTGGAGTGTTCGCTCACAGCGCCGACCTGCTGCTGGTCCCTCCTCCTTCTCCTCCTCCTCCTCACTTCCTCCTCTTGGCTTCAGCCTTCTTTTTTTTTCTCCACCTTTTTACACACAGCGACCAAGGGAGCGTAGGAGAACGCTTCCCAGCTTTTCTCTCCTCTGCGGTCAAGTAGTGAAGCAAAGACAATTTAAAAGGAGGGGAGGAGGAATCTGAGAGCTGCAAACTGGATTAAATGAGCAGGCAAAAGTGAAGGGAAAGGTCTGCAAACTCCCCCTGAACGAGATTGTCTGGATTGTGTTGTCAAATTGTGACAGAACTAAGCAGAGTGTTGCTTTAACGAAGGAGTCAGGTTTTATATCACTTGTATAATTTGACATAAAGGGACAATGTGAGATTGCATTTGTTAGGGATAGAAACCTTAAAAATCTGGCATGCGTTTGTCTCCAGTCCCATTTACTCTGTTCCCTATAAATAAAATGTACTTGAAATGTCACTTCATCAGTAAAGAGAGTCCCTCCGTGTTCCAACACCGATGGACTGAACCCGTCTGTCTGTCTAGGTTTGCTGGAGAATATGGACCAGCAGCATCCTGAAGACGAAGGATCACAGCAGACAGGCCAGGGAGAACGCTGGGAAGCAGAACTGGGTTATAAAACAAAATCCCAACATTTCATTTGATCCCAATTGATCTCTTATCCCCTACCGAGGTTCTTCCTTACTTAGAGTCAGGAGTGGGGTGACCCTGAGGAGTTGCAGACAGAAGACAGCACACTCTTTGCTTTGTGATGACCCAGACGAAGGTCAGCAGCAGGTTAATAAAGTTGGTTTGTCAGCATGAGGCATGTTGCTGGAGCCTCCACATGACTAAATCAGAAAAACAATTTTATGGAGGAGGGGCACGGATCCTTAATTAGTGTAATTTGCCATTTGCCATGAGCAATGTGGTGAACACTGCCAACGCATGAAGATGTTTTACTCAGATGAAAACAGAACAGAAGCTTTTGGACTTTGTGAAAGAAACGACACGCGCAATGAAACTGGCCCAGTTCACACACCCAACACACACCAACCCAAGTGTGAAGCACGGTGGTGGCTGCATCATGCCGTGCGGAAACATTCTTTAGCACACGCAGGGAAGTTGTTATGTTGATTTAAACAGAGGGCGTGGCTGAACCAGTTAGACTAAAGATGCTTTGAGAGCTTGAAGCTCTCACAGAACAATGACCCTAAACATTCAGTCAGAGCTACAATGGAAGTGACTGAGATTCATAGAAGTCTACATGCAAGTCTGATAGAGAATCTGTCGCAAGAGAAGAACATCGTCACATGGGAGACGATGTTTTTCAATCTGACTGAGCTTAAGTAAAAGCAAAATTTTAATTTTTCAACCATTAGATATGTGAAGGTTGAAGGAACCGACCCCTAAGAGTTGCAGCTGTCGTTGCAGTTGACATTTAATCTTTTTTTGGAAAAACAAACAAAAAAAAACCAGACAATAAATGTCCTGCGTCATTTTCCTTCCACTTTACAACACGCACTACTTTGTGTTGGTCTGACACAAAAAAACCGCAATAAAATACATTGTAAGCTAAAGTTGCAACATGACCAGATGGGTCAAGGTTTGCGGGGCGTTCTTTAGCGAAGAGCTGCAGTCGCGGTTTGAACAAAATTAAAAGACACTATTTCCCTCCCGTCATAAAAGGGGAGTCTTAAAAAGCCTGCGGACTGAGAATCCAGAATTAGCATGACTTAACAGCAGCTTGGCTCCAGTCCTCAGTGACCCTGCTGCCCCGCAGGCGTGACCCCCTCAGCAGCAACCATTTGCATGTTGCATCCAGCCATGTGTGTGAAGCCTGGACTAATAAGTGTGCACTGACACTTGATTCTGTTTGCATGAGAAACACCATGTTTATCCCCTTCAAGTAAGTTAGTTCAGCACTGTGGAGGTAAGCAGATAATCTTCCACACATGCACTCTGAATTGCAACTGTCATTTGACTTTTGCACATTGAGCAAAGTGAATTAAATAACCTGAAATCAAATTGCGTGAAGGGTTGCGTGAAGCGGATTAAACAGTGACATTTACAGGAGAATAAAGGCGGTAAGAAGATGAAAATTGTTTAGTTCAAACTGAGACTTCTCTGCCCTCATGTGGTTGTTTCTGTTAGAAACAAGCCCTTTACAAGCTCTCATTTTTGCCTGTGAAAATAAGACAAAACAAAATTTAATAGTTTTGTCCTATTAAATAGTTAATAGGACAAAGCTATTTTGTCCTTTTAAAATAGTTTTAATAGGACAAAAACTATTGTGTCCTATTAAGAGGACAAAATAGTTCTTGTCCTCTTATGGATTTGTTCTCATTTCAGATGATCAGAACAAAGTTGATATCAGATAAAAAAAATAAAATATATATATATATATAGATAGATAGATATCTATCTCTCTCTCTCTTTCTCTCTCTGTCTCTATATATATATATAGATATATCATCTAAAGAGAAATCATCTAAAGAAGCATCCAAGCCTGGTTGTCTCTAAACTCTGTGATGATGAAACCAGGATGACCACCTTTCTAAATCAACAACATGAAGCAACACCAGAAAAATGTCATAGTGAGACAAAGTAGTAGAATATTGATCTTAGGTTATTTTATTTTCAGATGGAACCAAAACTTTCTTAAACGTTTCTAACTTTCTATTGACGAACCAAGATGTGGGATTCTGATAAGTCTTACTAAAGTAAACTGAATGGTGAAACTGGATTAAATTGTGATTTCTATCTTTGCAAAATGAAATCGTTTTCCATTCTTTTTAACCTCTCCATCCAAACTACGTCTTTCGGTAAAGGGACCGAATGAAGCAAATGCCAGGACTCTGCAAGTAGATCAGATGACATCATTTCAGATTGATTTAAATAACACTACAGTTTAATGTTTACATGGTAAGTTTAATTTCACATTTTTATTTACAAAATATGTTCAAAAAGAAATATGATGAAAGTATAATTTGAATACACGTATGTACCTATATATATTCATAAGAACAAAAAGAAATAAAAGATTTCAGCTCGTTTTTTTTTTCTGTCGTCACCGTCTTGCCTCAACTTCACCTTTGTTTTTAAAAACAAAATAAAATAAAAAGACGGACTCTGATTTGAAAATGGATCATACAGCCAGTTAGAAAAGGAAATAAAAAACGAGTGAAGGCAGACGAAGTGAGTCCAATTCATCTGTGGAGTCTTTTGCACTTTTAAAGTCAGCAAAATGCAGCAACACGTAAATATAAACAATATGAACATGACTAAAAAAAAGGGCATTTTAACTCTTAATACCATTATTAGATAAATAAGCAAATAAAGTGTACAGACATTGCTTGTCCCAGTCAGACACGAACAACAAGTTTTACTCTACATACATTTCCTGAGTGCTGCTGTTTGTTTATTTTTAAAAAAAGTTAGCTTCATTCAGGCTTTTTTGTAATTCAAAAAGCAAACAGCAGGGATTGAAAACAAGAGCTGTTTTATGTTATCAATTAAACCAGAGCAATTTCACTCCTGAAACATAATCTGATGGAATAACGATCCCAAAGTCAATTAGCAAATGTGCATAACTCAGTTGTTCTTTTTTTTCCCTTTTACTTAAAAAAAAGAAAAAAAAAAAAAGAAGATTGGGAGTATTCAGCTCATAATAAATAAAGCCCAGACAGAAACCAAGAAGTTCAGGTTGGAAATCAAGGACAGGTCACTCCTTGGCTCAAAGGAATGTGAACCAAATGAAAACAAAGGAGAAGAGAACATCAGACCAGAACATTCATCCTTAAACATGAAGCCGTTCAAGGATGAGTGCTTCATTGAATGCCAGGGTACACAATGATCTTGAAGGAACTGAAACTGCACACGGAGACACAGAAGTCAGTGATACATGAACCTGTTTATATTGTGTTTGATGTAAAAAAAAAAAAAAAAGGAAAACAATGCACCAATAAGATTTTTTCCAGTATCCCTACTTCTAAAATTAAAGCATAGCTCCCTAATTTGTATCTGATTAACCAAAAATCAGATAAAGAAGCTGATGCCGACTCGTGCAGCAGAGATCATGTTGTTGATTGATGCACTTGTAGACAGAAAATTGCTCATTATTATGCATTTATTAAAATGAAAAAAAAAAAACAGATTTTAAAGGTTTTGACTTGACAATCAGGGTCAAATTTGTCTGAGTGCTCCAGCCAATTGATTCATGCATGTCAAGTACAATTTAATCAACTTCTTAAAATGGGTAGAATGAAAGCTTTAAGAAATTATAGAGCTCCTTAGTGTCTTCATGTTTAAAACAAATCTATATATACAATTTTGTTACAGGTTTTATTGTAAATTTGAAAAAGTTCTGCTAGAAAACACAACAGGCAGGGTGCAGGGAGAGGAGGGAAGATAATTCCCAATTTATGTTCCAGACAAAAAAACTTGCCAAGACTGAGCATCTGATGTGTGTGATGAAAACAACAGCAGCAATAAAAGTGATCGAAGAAAAGACAAACGAGTTGCTGGCTCTTTTGCCCAACTTTTCCTTCCCAGTAATAATGACGATAAAAATGAAAAAAGAAACTGAATAAGTTACGACTGTGAGAGAATGGATGCGATTTAGAAAACTGGTCTGCAGCTTTCATCCCCTACACTGTGCTTTTACAAATTGTAATTAATAGATATACACTCCATCGACGGTTGACAGGCATAAATTAAACACTCAGCATTCAACAACAGACGGACGTTGATGGTAAGGCCTCCTCCAGAGCAACAGCTCCAACTTTTTCAGATGTAAAAACTGTTTGACCAATTAAACATCTGTCTGCAGAGCGAGTAAACGGCTGATATATTTCCGTGTGCGTTCCACTCTGCCAAAATGTTAAAAGGGCTAAGGGTGCAGCAGGCTGCCAAACGCCTGGAAGCTTGATGAGAGAACGGCGGGGGAGGAAGCCGAGGTGGAGGGAAGGTTAAATTCCACCGGCGGCCTGCGGGAGGCGTGAGTCCCACCGCCTGCCGCACCGCAACCGGTGCCGTCAGAAACAAAGGGCCTGCCGTGCATCTGCAGGTGATAGAAGCAGGAGTTCAGGAAGCCGTGGTCGTCGTCGTCGAGGCGGTACGGCAGGTTTCCACGGCCCCACTCGGAGCACTGGTCAGAGGGCTGAGACTGGAACTGAACCGGAGCCAAGGGACGATTCGAGTCAGCGTCTCCAAGCTCGTCCACGGATGGGTAAGAGAACGGACAGTCGAAGAGCTGCTGAGGACATTCGTCGGGACACAGCTCGGACAGACTCATCACCAGCTCACCGTCTGGGTACAAAGAGACAAATTCAGATCCCGTCTGATCAGTAAAACCACCGGGGCTCATCAGACACTGTCTGTGATTCATAGATCATTAAATAAAAATATTCCATCAAATCTCAATTAAAAAAATAACAGCAACAATAAAACAAATGCCCTTCAAAGACTGTATGCAACAATGTTAGGAAGGGGAAGAAAATAAGAGATTTGTCTATTTTGAGAATTTTGTCAAATGACGCAAATATGAAGAAAAATTAAAATGACTTTATTCAGCTCTATTCAGTTTACTTATCTATCGCCAATTCACATGAATGAAACAAAAATATTTTTGCCTTACTTCAATCAGAGGATTACCAGTCATTTAAAAAAGAAAAGAAAGAGGGAGGAATAGCGAGGCAGATCATCAGAGGATAGCAGTGAAAAGATTTCAGGCTTCCAGGAAGTAATGAAATAAATATTCGCTAAGAGACAACAATCTGCAGCTCTTTAAACACAGGTTCGTAGATTCTGGAAAGTAACTAAATGTAGAGCCATAAAGGGCGTTATTGGCTTTTGGTGACAATGTGTGAGGAAACACTGACGCAGATGAAATTATTGTCATTTTGTAGTGACAATCTTTCTTAAAAACACATTGTAAACAACAAGAGTCAAGTTATTTGTTCTTTTTGCTGGCATTAGTTCACCCTGATTTCTTTACCTGCAGGCCCAGCCTGCTTTCTGTGGCGTGTGTGGACGGAGGTCATGGCTTTAAGAGAAAGCGGGGCGTTCGTCTGCGCCTGGGGCGGCCTTCTTCTTCTGGAGCAGAATGGCAACATGAACCGTGCACAGACAAACATGCACACCCAACAAACACAGACATGCATGCGTGCATGCACAAACAGAACAACACGCGACAGTGAGGATGGGAGAAAACAAAGGTGGGGAGACATAACAAAACATAATGAAGATGAAGCAAATGATGTGATCTCGATGCCCCCCCCAAAAAAATTAACTGAGGAATTCTGCACAATAAAGACCAAAAGACTGCATATATGACTCTTAATGCTGGAGGTTTTCTCTAACTTTTTAGAAAACTTCAAATTAAATGTTAATCGTCCTTGTACTTAAGTATTATCACATGCATGTTTTAATGACCTTCTGTGAGAAAGAGTAATTTTACATCAGAGCAAATTGAGTTTCACAGCTCATTTATTGATCTATTCCTGAGTCGTACCTTGTTTGTTTAGATCCAGACTTGTACTTGAAGGAAACCGGGACTCCATTTGTCCAGAGGTTATTGAGATCTGTGACAGTAACCCCAAGGAATTGTTGCTTCCCTCGAGATCTCCACCCTCTCCATCCTGGTCTCCATCCTCACTAAAATGCAGAGGCACAATCACTAATTATGTGTAACTTCAAAGTGTACACACACATTTGACACGGACACTCAGATGTAACTGATACTAGTAGGGAGGGAGAGAGTAGGGGACATGGCAAACCTATTGGTCATATATTATGATTAGGGCAAGCTATTTGAGTAATTATTATAACCCCCCTCCAACACCCAATTTTACAACAAAGCTATAATGTCACATTTTTCCCACTTCCAAGTTTTTCACTACCATTTGTTGGTCTTAAATTAAATAGAATTAATTTATAGAAAAAATGTTCCCAATATTACAAATAGTCCTTAACCGTCTTCCAGTTTTGTTTTTTTTACTAACAAACAAATTAGCGTCAATATTTAACCCAAGGCATTTCTGCAGAAGTACTCACATGTTCTCTGACTGCATGATGTACTTTTTTCGGCTCACCCTTGTGGCCTGCTGGGTGAAGAACATGTGGCGCTCCGATTTCTTCCACATGTAGTAATAAGCCACACACTCACCGACGGAGCGAGTTCGTACCTGCAGAGAAAGGTTTCAATCATTTTTAGAAACAAGCGTTTAAGACAATCAGTCACATTTTGAGGCTAGATTACTAATCAAAAGCTCTAAATTTGATCAAATACCTTATTAGCCTGAATGAGATGGAAGTTTTTCCCATAAACACGGTAGCCATTCTCAAAGTTCCTACACTCCTCCTCGCTCCAAGAACACAGTTCCTCTAAAGGAAGTAGGCACACACAGAACTGAGATCCTGCAAACTAGTTCAGGTTAAGCACATGATATTGATAACAAAAATCATTCACTTCCTGCTGAAAATCTACTGGCACACTTCTAAGCTAGAGCGTCACAACTCAACACAAACGTCTCAAGTTTTGTGGCAGAATAAAGTCACAGGCTTTGGAGAAAACAACATGTTTTTAGTGTACATGTACCATAGAAGTATAGCTAAAGAATAGCTAAAGTACAGTGGAAACTACTACATTTTTAAATTCACTTTCTTATACTAAATCATACTTAACATTTCCACGTCTTCTCCGTTAGGATTATCAAAATTTATTTGCACAATGGCAGAATTATTTTTTTCTAGGGTTTTGTTTTTTTAATTGAAGAGTTTACATAAAAGCAGCCCATCATTCAAACAATCTGGAAAAACCAAGTTGATGATGTAATGGTTTTGAAAGCTTCCGATAGGCAATAAGATTAGAAGGAGATGCACCCATAGATATATTTAAGGCATTACTTCAAACAAAATGATTCCTTGTGTGACATTATGAAAAATAGATGTCGTCATCATCATCACAACAAAAACCTCGCATGAAAATATTTACTAAAAGTAAATATTGCTAACGAAGACATTATCAAGTTTAAGCTTGGGCACAAACTGATGTTCCAAACGGTAAATGACATAATGTATACAGTCCGACAAGTTACAAAGTCAAACATCCTGTTATAAGACTATATAGTGTCATAAAGTAAAATTGAGCTGACTTTTTAAAATGGTCTCAATTTATCTTCTTTACATGAGACTTATTGTTCTATAATTTATTTTGAAACAGCGTTTTTTAATTCTATGCGATGCTGCAAGTCTGGAATGAGTTCCTGAAAAACAGCCAGAGAGGATTTTTTTTTAAACCCGTTAAACAGGTTATTCTTTTTCCTCCAAATGAATACAGCAGATATAAAACGCAAACCACCTTTCAAGCTGACGGACAGTCAGGAAGCAGATTATATGAAGCAAATGGTCACAAACATTAGAACGCTGCCAAAGTTTAACAGTGCTATCAGGTTTAGCCATGTGGTTCAATACGAGACGTTTTCATGAAGAGGATCGTACAAATCAGATCACATGACAACAGGAAGAGTCTTACCACTGAATACTTTCACATTGAAACGTAACCGTCTCAGTGCTTCTTCTGCATTGAAGTTGCATTTCACTAGTTCATACAGTGCCTGAATGTTGAGCCAAAAAGAAGGCAGAAATCAAAACTTCATTCCACATGACAAAAAAAAATTAACTAAATTATTCCAGTTCCTTTGGCTTGTTTAGCAAACCAACAGTATTATACACTTTAATGCAGTCACCTACAGCTGCTAGCAGTGCTGATGTGAATAGTAAAAATGCCACACTGATGATGTACCTGCTCATTGTCTTGGACAGTGGCCGTTGGGGTCCATACCGCCCCCTCCTGGCCGCCAAGTCTCTGTGCATTCTGCAAAAATTCCTCTACTTCCTGTACAGGCAAAACCCCGGGCCTCCACAGCAACTGGTCGCCATTGTTGTAAGCTGGGGGAGCGAAAGCAGAAAAAATTGGAATTTAAGAAAAAAAAAATGAAAATGATGAGAATGATGACAGCTCTGTGGGTAGAAGTCTCCGCTTTTATACTAAGTTTCTAATTTTTAGAATCTACAAATAAATATTTCTGGTAAAATGTCTACAAGGAGTACTCAACAAACAATCATTTTTCACCTCTCTCCTCAGATAAATGTGGATTTATTGGTGGGATTTTTGCTTGATACATGGAGCCGACCATAATCTCCTGTAGAAAAAACAACAACAACAATAAAACTGTTCAAATCTGAGCATTCACTATAAGACGAAGATGATCTTAGAAACACTGGTTTGAAGCAAAATTTACATAACAGTCCAAGAATCTGATAAGATGCAGTACACGTTAAGCTGCTTAATTTTAGCTAGATTTGGTCTATATTTGTTGTGGAAAAATGAGTAAAAGTAAATAAATGTGAAAAGCACATTTCTGACTGGTTCAGTACCATGCTGACACCATTTCAGATCCACAATATCACAAACTCATTCACGTCCAGTACACTTTGTGTTACTATATTTTAAATGGATCAGCTTTTCTTTCAGTGAGGAACAACTCTCACTGCAAATATTTGAAAACGTATCATTACAATGACTTTAAAAGTGATATTGGTAGGCAGTATACACAATAAAAATGATCAATAAAGAAATTAACAAAACCAAACACCACCATATTTTAAATAAAACTTGAAAAAAAAATTATAGAACAAACTAAAATTCAAATGTTGCTGACAAGTTTTTTGTGTTTCCACTGGTACTTTGTGTCTTTATGCAGAAGCACAAATTTGTTTTTCTTTATGTATATTTTAGTGACATTTCCAGCAAATAAAGATAACTGTTGCTGATAATTTGAGTATCTAATTGAATAAAAAATCCTAATATTTCACACACCTCATAAATACCAGTCATTTTAAAGTTACAGAGTCTAGAATTACATTTGGACTAAAAGGTGTAATAGAAAGTTTTCTCCTCTGGCGTTGCACCATGGGACATATTTTTGTTTATTGCTAGTGGAGGCTCACCTGACGTTTTAAATATGCAGCATTGTGTATTTGTAGATGCCTAAATATTTAGAGCCTAATTTTATTAATCTTTTTGTGATGATGGAGGTGTATAATTCAAAGTTTGAAGAGTAACACCTTATTTCCAAGTTGTTTTTGGTCGAAATTAATCTGTAAGTAAATAAGATGGCATTTTTGGAGGAAAGAAAATCATTACAAATAACACATTACTTGACAAAAGAGAATCTGAAGAATGAGAGGACTTCCATTCAGATATTTGGCCCACACTTCATCTACTGCTACATAGAGAAGGACTGACTCATTTATAAAAACAAAATCAGCAAAAGTAGCCCAAAAATTCCTATAAATGAGATCCAATGTTAATAATCCCATTACATATCCCATATCCCTGTAGTATGAATATCCAGTAAAAATTAGATACATTTCTCTTTGATATTTATCAAAATGGGAAATAGAAGAAAAACTGCTATTCAAGTATGGCAGATACAGTTTGATCAGTTCAATGTTCCTTCTCATTTAGAGGTGAAACTATGGCTAAAATATAAATACATGTGAAAACTGAAGTATACCAACCTGTGTTTTCGTGGAGAATTAGTTTTCTGTAAAATTCAATTTCATGTTTTTGTTTTTTTGTCGTTGTTTATAGTCACAGTAATTTAGCGAACGCAGGTGTGTGACAGAAATCTTTAATTTTTATTCTGCTGTTTTTTAAAAAGGTCCAAAGGACTGGGTTTACAAACTATCCTGTGGCTGGAAAACCAAAACCAAAGTACCGAACAAAAGTTGTACTTGGGTTTGTAATATGTAACATAGTTTAATGTGTTGTTCTCAACAAAAAAAATAAACTTGAATTGAATTTAAATCTTCACTGCTTGCATATGTAAAAAAACCCATATCACTATTTAGAACAATAATAAAAGGATTTAAAACACCTGGACGTGTGATACGTCTGAATGACTCCAGTTTATCTCGCCGCTGCACAGTGACCAACTCAACACGATATCATTCTGAGTAGCTAACTAACCTTGTGCTCTTCATTGGATGGAACAGAAGAATCATCAGTGTCGTCGTCTGATGAGCTGACAGTCGTCGCTTTGTAGCCGTCTAAAAGAGACAGAAACAGGATTATTCAACCCTGAGCAGAATTCCTCAAAAAAGAAAAACATTTCCAAATCAGCTGTGATGTCGAGCGCACTGAACACCTCAAATACTTGAACTGTTGATGGAAAAGCTTTCTTCACTGTGAGAAAAAATGTTAGAAATAAGTGAAGAGAATTGTCCAAATATTAGATGAGAAATTATTATAAGCAAGCAAAGCCAGGTAATAGTTTGGAGGTGAAAAATGTTTCCAAGGAACACATCCACAACTCAAATGACCAAACTAGCTGTTCAGAAAACTATGGAACATATTTATCTCTACAAAATAATAATCCAAATAGTGGTGTGGTGAGAAAATTTTTAGCTTCCTTTAGGGAAAAACAAAAATCTAATCTGTGAAATAAACATTATATATCAACGCTTCAAAAAACGTTTTTGACAGAAAATAACTATAGCTCTCTCATTTGAATAAAAAGGACAAAACCAAAAATACGTTTATCAACACTTCTTTTGGTGTGAAAATCTTTATGGGTAATTAATCCTGTGTGTATTACCCTGGAGGCTGGGCAGCAAATCTGAGGTGTTTGAGGAGGTGAGATCATAGGCTGACGCTTGTTTCTCTTTCTTGCCATGAAACAGGTCCTTCGTCTTCTGATCCTGTACAACACACGCAAAAAGTAAAACAACAATACTACAAAACTCAGCAGAACAATGATCAACCTGGTGTTTATTTGAAGCCATCTTTACAAGAAATTATCAAATGAACAAATGAGGAAGTGAAAATTTTATGTTGTTTTGAAACTGTCCTAATTCTTTGGTGCACTTCTTTAATATGATTGGCTGACTGCACAAAAATCATAGATAGCACAAGTAAATTGAGCCAATAACAAGAAACCCACAATCTATAGAGAAAGTAGTATAACAAATGAATAACAGCACTAATTGATGCATGCTTTGGCTGAATCTCACCTCATCCAGGGTCATATCTGGCAGAGTGGTGGTAATAGGACATGTTTCCTTCTGTGGATTGGATACTTGATATCCATACAAAGCCAGTAGCTCCTCCAAGGGAAGCTCACTGACCTACAGAGGCAAATAACAGAGAAAGGAGGAGGGAAAAAAAAATACAACAAATGTAATTTAATTCCACAAAACTGTTTCGTTTTCCTAAACAGCTGAAACATCACTTTTGAATTTCAGTTTCTCAAGCATATTCATGACTTTTTACAGAGTACAATTTGATGGAAATATTTTCACAATGTATGGCACAGAAGATTAATATATCAATATGTCATAAGTTTTTATTTTCAACAGGTCGATTGAGCCACAAAATGTAAGAATAGCTTTGGTGCAGAAGTGAGAAGTTGCAAACAAATCCAACACTATGAGTGGGAAGTTCAGGCCAGCAGCATTTCATGTTCATGCTGAAAAACTCCCAAAATACTGTAACTACAGTGAATGGAAAAATATATTTGTATGTAAATGAATACAGAGCCAGTCTTCTTTACAACATTACCTGTATTCATTTAGTTTTGCAGCTATTTATTTCAGCTCTGAAAACAGTCCAAATTAGGTGATTATTTTACAATATATTTAAATACATCTATATTGTGGCGCTTCATTTATTAAGCATGTGCAACCTCTTGGATTTAAGTAATTCAGTCTAAAGATGTAAAACAATATCCATGCATGAATTTTATTTAAAAGAAAACGCCAAACAAAGAATAAAATGCACATTATGCCAAATTAATGTCATGTTGCTCAGGTGTTTCACAGCAATCGGGACAAAGCTGTGGCTCCGTCATAAAGCTGACCAGAGCTGCATCGTCTTTTTTGGGTTTCCCATTCCTCAGAGAGTTGTGGATGATGGTGCTGGGAAATCACGGTCATTCCGCTCCACAAGTTAAGAGGCGTTGCTCAAGATTAAACGTAGAATTATGCGCCTCCAAACTGTGCAGCACTCCGATAACACACGGCAGTCCGTCGGTTCACTGGCGTGATTGAATTTTTTTTTGGGAGTTTGCATTGACCTAAATCCTGAGCCAATCAACGAAAGAAGTCTGCTGAAATTTCAAAACTTTTTGAAAAACTTCTGCTAAAATGGCTAAATACAGAAAAGAACAGCCCAGGTGAATTTCTCCTGTGGGGATTAATAAAGTGGTCATTCAGTCGCAGATGGAATGAAAATATCTGTATGTATTGGCCATAGGTACACCTACCGAATGTTGGTAACATTGATCATCACCTGCAAATACTGTTCAAATCCAATAAATTGAACGTACTTGCTTTCCATTAAAAATAATTATAATTTTTGAACTTTTTGTAGAACTTTTTTTTTTTTTCTGTTATTGATTCTGCAAGGAGACAGTTTTTTATTCAGTCATTTACTTATTTTAAATGAGCAAACTCATTTAAATTTTTTAAAAAACTGACATTGAGATTTTTCTTTATGGTCGAGCAACGTTTGCAGGACCAGTTTTCGTATTTGCCATTTCATACCAAGTTTGTAAGACAAATGAATTGGAATGGGTCATAAACATGGTAAAATTGGGAAAAAAGACACCAATACCACCATTGTGGTTATTATATAAATGCATATATTTTATAAAAATATTATATTGCTATTTTTTGTCTTTATTTTAAGTCAGAGTAAATAAATCGCTGCTGCGCTGGGAGGCATTCTGGGAGAAAATTACAAGTTTTACTTGCAGCTGGAAGGAGTTGTATATACTATTAAAAACAGGGTTATTTATTATTTTTCTGTGGGGTGCATCTTTTGTCTCCAGTCAAACATTATTCTCAGTGAAGAAACTAATGCATTTTAAAAAAAGAAAAAAATTATTAAAAAAAACGAAAAGACAAAAGACCAGCCATTGACAGGGCACAGCCTGTTGATGGCTGTTAAATTTGTCTTATTGTTCCAACTCAGATAAACTTTTTAGTTCGTCAGGAAAAATATAGATTGATTAGCTCAAAGTTATAATGACAACCTCAAGATTTTTCCAAAGCGGTGTTTTAAAAACTCAGGCCCTTCGCCAACACCATTACTGGGAAGACATAAAATCGCAGACACTATGCCAACAACAAGCATCAGGGAAATGATTTGAGACAGGAATCCTGATGCTAATTATTTGAAAAAGCCTTGATTAAAACTGTAATGATACTTGGGTCAGACTGGAAGACCTTTGATAAAACAGATAGTTTCGCCCCCATTATTTTATATTTACAATTTCAGGTTTTCCCCCCAGTGTATTATAAGCCTGGCGGGCCACCAGGCTTTACTTGAGCCCCCACAAGGCTGAGCATTGCTTATTTGTTTAACTCTTTTTTAAAATGTTTTCATTTTTTAAGACTATCGTTGATGTTCAGGTATTATTTGGGAAAAAATGAGTTCCAGTTCATTTCTAAAAACAAGCCTTAGGTCTTAAAAATGTGTCATAGGCACAGAAACATATTTTATGAGACAAAACCTGACTTACTGTTGGGGATTGTGCAGCCATTTTTATGGAGCGAGAAAGCTTCTCCTCCAAATCCTCTATGACTTCTTCCAACTGCTGTTTCTTCTGCTGAAGGCCTTCATCTCTGTACTTTGCCCAATCTCCACTAGGCCACAATGTCTCTGCTAATGTTCATATGCTTGTCGCCCACCTGCAAACACATATACACACATTTTATGGAAAAACTCAACACACAGTGCAATGTACACACAAACAGCATATGATTGATCCTGGTTCAGAACATTGTAGACAAACCAGCTGCTGCATTCTTAAAGCATCATTTTTTTAAGATCTGTTACCAACAGAGCTTAAAATATACAATAACACCAAACTTATCAAGTCAATGTCTTCACAGAAATGAACATGAGTGACAATCCAAAGTATTTTATATGCTACTGACCTACTCTGTACAGCTGTAACAGCTTAATAGCATAAAAGAGAGTTTATGAGAATATTGGACATTACTTAAGGAAGTGCATTTATGAGGTCAGACGCTGATGTTGGACAAGACTCAACTTGCTGTCTGTGCCCTAATTAATCCTAAATCTGTTTTGAAATGTTGACTTCCTGCTCCACACAAAGCAAGCTCATCCATACTTTTATGGACCTTGCTTTGGCCACAGTAGTTCAGTCGTGCTGAAGCAGGAAGGAAACGCTGCTGTCATCTTATTTGTAATTTTGGATCACTTGATAAATCTCTTGGTCAGACTGTAGAGAACCTGTTAGTGAGATTTTCTTCCCTAAGGGTGTTTTCACACCTAATATTCTGGTGGACTTGGCTTGGTTGGGGGCCAAAATTGCAACATTTGTTACATTTTAAGCTGCTGCAATTCATATTCACGCTGCACTGTGTCAAATGATCCAAACTAATTGAGAAACCTGATCTCCCTCCTTGCCTGTCATGACCAAGAACCGCAGAAGGAAACAACTCAAAAATCTCAGAAGAAGACAAGAGCGCAAAAATGAAGCACTATCATTTTAGTAGTTGTAGGATTTCTCTTTTTGTAAAGGACTAAGAACTATTTCTCCCCTAGTATTAGACTCTTTTGTAGTTGTTTTGGTTCTATTGACCCAGAACGGCCTACACTATAGTCGTTTCCTGCTTTTGTAGCGACCTACACTCCAAAAGCAAGAATCCAGATATGCATTCGAGCTGCGCCACAGTTCACTTTAATCAAACCGAGACCTAGGCTTTTAGGCAGAGCAGTTTGCTTTTTTGGTCTACGTAATAGTTTGATTGCGCATTCACACCTCCTGAAATGAACCAGACTTTCAAGACAAATGGACTAGAGTTTGATTTAAACAGACTAAATTTGTCTGGTGTGAATGTGAACATGTCCTGTATAAAAGTCTGCATTTTCAGTCGCTGATTCCTAAATATTTGATATTTTGATACTTGCATTATTTTGCGGGGTTTGAAAACAGGTAAGTTTGCTCAGGTTCTAGAGTCCTGCTAGAGGCCTAATTATGTGATTCAGATGTGTTGACTCATACACTCGTGAATCTAAGAGTTTCACCACACTGGCCTTTGAGGACCTTAGTTTGACAGTGCTTTACAAGACACCCATGTTATGTAACAAGACAAACCCAATTTGGGACAGATTATAAAGACTTGGCTGCAGCAACTGCACTGGTCTCGAGTGTCAGCCATCCTGACTTGTCCTTTACGGATAGCTGTAACAACAATTAAAAAATGAACAATTGTAGATTGTGAAGCTTGTTTTCAGGTAGATCAGCTCAAAACGTCCATGCTAAGCTGCTTTATTATGTGTTATCTTCAGACAAAAAGATTACACAGGGGCACATTTGAGGCATGGTGTCAAGGAGGACAGAAGGTGCCACTTTATTTAAAAGCTCACAAAAGGAAACATCTAATCAATTTTTGGTGCTGCTCCATTTTCCCAAACCAGCATCAGCCAAACTCTGCTAGGAGAGTTTGCTAGCCAAGAGTTTTTTTGTCATTACACCATGACTGGAACAACAGAATGAGCCCAGAATAGTTGTACTGTATGAGCAAGGTCCCCCTCCCTGAAAAAGATTTCAAACCGGAATGTTGCAAAAGGCTGAAAAGAAGTCATCAGTCAAAGAAACATGGTGCAGCAGTAGAATAATAGAACAAGCTTATTTTCATTCGAGAATCTGAAGATGTCCAGCAGTGTCATCGGGTCACAAATGGCAGAATCAACTGTCCAACAAAGTCTGATCAAGAGACCTTTGTGGAATTGCCATGGATGAATTATCCTGAAGATCAATAAGGGTGAATTATTATAATGAGAAATGATGGAAGACATTTATGAATCAAGCCATGTCATCAAGGAGGCTTCTGTGGAAGGTGATTGTTCTGTACCAATCAGAACAGTCTTCAGTGCAAAGAAAAACAAGATGTCCTGGATGGAAATGTTCTGTCTCCACAGAGAAACCAGCATCATCAAATGTGTCTGAGATTTAGGTAGGCCCATATCAACATAATATTTGGGATTAGTTTGGCAAGATGTGTTTATTTATTTTACAAAGGAGCTTCAGTGCATCTAAAGTAAAATGTAGAAAATGATACCAAAGTCAATTATTTAAAACCTTCCTTTTTTTTGTGCCCATCTTTTCTTGGCAAAAAACTTGAAAACAAGGAAGTGAAAAAAAAAACTTGCTTTATGTATGCAATGTGGATGTGGTTGAGCATTAGCATACACATTCAAACTCAGGAGTCAGAAAAACATCTCAAAACATATAAGATGCAGTCATTCATCTCCAATTATCAAGAGTTTCCATTCTAATTTTTAGATACATCTCTGTTTCAACACAAATAAATCCAGTGAATGGCTCAATGCCAGACTCAATGACATCCAAAGGTTTGCTGCATAGAAGCTCTTTGTGACAGGAGCTGTGAACACTTGTTATAAGGCGTTTCCGATTAACCCTAAATGAGTTTCAGCTACTGCAGAAGGTTTTCACCGACATAAACTTAAGCAGGGGACACACTGCTCAACTCTCAGACTCGACACATTTAGAAAAACTTGAGCGTTTACACCAATAGACTGATTTCTGAACTGAGTTTTCTGTTGATCATTTCCAGCATTTCATTGGCTTCCTTTTTCAAAAGATGTCAGTTTGTAGGATTTTGATCACATCTGTTTAACATTTTTGCAAAGTTTAGATTAAACTGAAGATCAATCGAGGTGATAAATCACAAAACAAAAGTGCATTCCTCAAATAATGAGTCAAGAGTAAAACTCTTTCTTTTTTTTCTGACTAAAAGTAAGAAAATGGTCTATTCTCTAAGCTATAAGTTCATTATGTTTCCTGCTGGGAGGGATATTTTTCTACATAGCCAGTTGCGGGCCTTGTGTTGCACCTCTTTTTACAATCAGTGTGCATAACTAAAAAAGTAAAGAAAACTTTGGGAACAGACACTATAAGGACCCCCAACAGCCACATCCTTAAATCAGATAAAGTGCCAGCAGTTCCGAAATGTCACAACCTACTTTAAACGACACAAAAGGTCCTGTGAGAAGCTGCTTTTTGTCCCCAGCCCCATCCGGCGCTCTGTCTGACCAGGGGCGCTTTCCTGCGACTTGGTGCTGAACATCTCTTCCTCCACCCGGCTCGCTGCGAGAAGGAAACTACTAGTTTACAATGTTTCCGAGAGGCACGGTGGAAGTTCACCGCCGCCGAGCCAAGTCATGTCTCCAAAACTTTTCAACTCGACGCCAGCCTGCCGAAGAGGAGGCACCTGGAAATAGTTCAGCACCACCGCGTCGAACCCGGCCCCGGGTTCCCCCATTGTTTTCTGCTGCCGTACTATCAAGGCGGAGAGGGGGAATGGCTCTTTAACACCAAGAACGCGGAGAGAGACGATCTACGCCGGAGAGGCTCTCCGTTTCTTTCCCCCACCACCACCTCAGCTCAGCTTCCCGGTGCTAAAATGCCTCGTAGCTCCCTTTCAGCCGCCGCTCGGCAGCCGGAGAAACCCTCGGTCACACCGGGAGCCGTCGGGGTTGACATTGGTCCTAAATTCGGCGCAGTTTCTCTAACATTACGGCTCATTAGATTCCTCGTTTTCGCTCACTTACCTCCGCCATTCCGTTTCTGCGCAAGCTTACTGTTGCCCGGATGTTGTATGTCTGCTCCTCTGTACAACTCCGTTTATTGCCGCAACGACTCGGCGAGAGCAGCTTTGCCTTAACTTTGTTTGACTTAACTCCACTTTTTATAAGATTTGTTGTTTTTTTAATTATTATTATTTCCATGTGGCAAATAATTATTTTTTTAATACTTATGTAAAATTGTTTATTTGGAAAGACACCTACAGCGGCCGCGACTTTCAGTATGAACTGAACGAAATCATTTGAAGCACTTAACATTTTATAACATTCAACTTAAAGCAGTTTATATATATATATATAAATAAGAAAGTTTAGAATTAAAATCCGTTTTGCATATTGAGCAATAAAACAAGTTCATTACATTAAACTCTCGTTTCTTCTGATTTTCTACAAAGTTTAAACTGAACAATTTTTTATTGCATGGAAATCTATGAGACTTAAATGTTCAATTTGCATTTAGTGCATTTAGTGCAAATTACACCAGATCCATGTGGTTTGAAATTTTGAAAAGTAAACTATAGATTATGCTGTGTTCACAAACTCAACATGCTCAGAGTAGATTAAAAATGCCATCCTTCTGAGACCCTGCTCATTAATTTTGTGGACATTTTGTTCACCCTACTGTATAGGACATCCTGGCTTTCCAGTGATGCGTCATGTGATAGGCTTATATGCTGGGAACTCACTTTCCCCAATCAAAATGGACAGCTTACCAGCAACCACATTTTATGAAGACAGGAGAGGAAAGTCAAGTATTTTTTATCTTTAGCAATTTTCCCCTGCTGTATTTGTATTTATTTACATGTTTGTTGACAATATTTTGAGAGAATTAAGTGATTTTGAAGAGTTTCATCTAGGCTTCAGAGCTCATCGTAGCACTGAGATATCAATACTAAAGGTCACGATGGATGGATGGATGGATGGATGGATGGATGATCTGAACAAACTAAAACACTGCAAGGAAGACGTTGATGCAAATATTAAGTTTGTAACTAATCAAAACCCCAAAGTTCTTATCGGCATGTCTACTCTCGAATATTTTAAAATCCACATAAGCCCTGGTGACAAAGTTTTGGGTGTCAAAAAAATTTGTTAAAACGCATGTGGAAAATGCCTGGAAATTTCCAAAGCAATCCCACTTGATTCAAATATTTCTTCAAAGCACAGACTGGGATTTTACCCACTCACAATGATTCCTCTGGTAGACCTTCTATTGGGCATATCAGCAACCAGAATGAGAAGTTGTGAACAATGTTACTTCTCTCTTTGCAGTGAAGGATGATTGTTCAACACGTAGGTAATTTCCAGAAAGCTTCATAGCACAGTTGCACTAGGGCTTGACATACTGTATGTGAGGGACAAACTTTTTGTAATTTTGTCAACCAGGATGGCTGACGTGGTCTATGTCTCCAGGAAACAATCGTTTCTCGATAGGGGAGAGCCCAGACCTTAATTTGTAAAAATCAAATAACATGGAACTGGGGCTGGTTTTTATATGACTAAGTGGAAATGTTAGTAAGAAAGGTTTGATTGCTGCAATGTTAATAAGGATTTTCACATTGACTTTTGAGAAATAACTCCAAAATGTCTATTTTTATTGCAGCTAAAACAGGTTCATTAACATTATATCTTTTTCAAAATGCATTTTGACCATCTTTTGAGTGACCTCTGTGTCAGAATCTTGGTTGTTTTATGGGTTTTATTGGTTTGTAGTTTTGCTTTTAGTTATTCTTTTGATTAGATCAGTATTGTTTCTGTTATATTTGAGATAATCTGCTCTTATTTCTGTTCATGTTATTTAATCCTCTTAATCGTTCTTTATTCCTCTAAAATCCTGTTTTGACTTTTTTGTTACTCCTTGTTTCTTTGTGCCATCTCTCCCCTCCCTCAGCCTGCTTCCCTGATCCCGACTCAAACCTGCACCCAATTGTCACTTGTTCCTTGTCGTCAGGCTCCTCTGTTCAAAAGCTCATCTCACTGGGCTCTCCTGTTCCTTCCTGGTATTCAGTTTCCATTGTCTCCATAGTTCTAATGCCTTGGTTTGCTATGTTTTCATCCACATTTAACTCATAGTATATATTCCTCTGGTTTAGTTATAACTTATTCCACTCAAATCATCTTTTGCCTTTTTGTTATTCTTTGTTTCTTTGAACAATCTCTTCCCTTGCCTGGTCCGACCTCTCCAGTAGATACCAGTTAGTCCCAGACTATCCCACTATCAAAATCATGGTTTTTGGGGATTTTTGATCAGTAAATGGAATTTCCATTGGGGGTCATTTCTGGACATTTTCTTTCTTATTGCTGTATCTTAGGTGCTGCCGTAATTAAGCTTATGACCTCCTGGATATGTTTACAATGCATAAATAATGTCATTAACCCTTTCCAGTCTCTCATGCTTCTCATCTGTTCTTCAGATCTTCAGATTAGTGCATGATGTGTTACTTTCTTAAATCTTCTGATCAGGTGTTCTTACAGATAGAGAAATTCTACTCAACTTTCCACAGAAATGCTGTTAATGACACTTAACTCATGATTTAACAAGTGGAGTGATTGATTTATTACTTTTAAGGCTAGGTCTGTTTGCACAGGATTTTCTCATTAGGGAATTATCTTTCAAAACCTGTATGCTATTTTTAATCAGACTATCAAATTACATTTACAAATACTTGTTACTGATAAATGTGTCAATAGAATTGCAGAAGAGGTTAAGGATCCCATGATACAGAGAAAATAATACTTGTGTCTCACTGAATTTGAAAAGCCAGATGAAAAACTGGGCACTAAACCCTGAGCTACAAATGCTGAACTGTGGCACAGAGTTCCAGGACTTCCAGTTCCAGATAAAGACAGATGTGAGACAGTGATTAAGCTTTGAGTCTATTGTTGCGGCTATCTATCTTTTTTAAATGGACTTTCTTCCGGCTGCACAAGGTACTGTAAACTCAATGTTGTTTTTATAAAGAGTTTTTAGTCATCCTGAAACCACATAAATGGCTCGTTTTGACGGCTGATATACAATTCAAAGCAATACAGTTTCATTTTCTGTTTGTGTGAATTCAGTCCAATTGGTGTGGTTCGCTGTCTTCTGAACACTCCCATTTGCCCAGATTCTTGTCAGTATCACTACATGACATGTTACTCTTTCCTGCATCTGCTTGCACTAAAATATGCTGTGATCTACAAACTACTGTTCTGATTAGATGCATCTATTGTATGTATTGTTGTAAAATTACAATGGAAAGAATAGACAAAAGGCAACATATAACTTTGCAGTCCTAATTTGCAATTATGTAATGTTTCATAAACATCCACAGTGTACAATATGACATTATGACAAAAAAGTTTATGACAAAAAAGTTTATTTAATATGTATAACATCAAACTGAAATACATATGGCGGGTTAAGTATGGCTGTTTTGTTTATTTATTTTTTAAAGAAAATACAATTTTCTCCAATACTTTCTGGAATAAGAATGTTTGGGCAGATCAGTCTAAGATTGAGTAATTTAACCACAATGACAAGAAGTATTTTGGAGGTGTCATAACAGAAAACTGGCAGCATGTGGTGGGGTGACAAAGTGGTTCAGTCCCTTGATATTATTTCTGATTAATTTACTCTTTCTGTAACAGGTCTTAATGCTTAAATTGAAACATTACATTGCAACTTTGCTTCACTCACTTGTTGTAGCATTATGTTGCAGTTTCCATCTATGTATATGTTTTGGTGAAAGCTAACATTTCTGGACCACTGGATTTTGTTTCAAGGTTTATTTATGGTAAATGATTTATTTTCCTTTTTTACTCACCATTGTTCGTCCCTTGTAGATTCTGCAGCCGGGCAGGTGTATGGAAGGGGCCGGCCCAGTATTTCCTGCTTAAATGGTTGGATGATGTCATCTATTACATAGCTGGGTTCTAGCAATTAGAGGGTTTTATTTTGTGCATTGCATTTTTTTTTCCTTTTTTAAAGTAACCTTTTGAGTTGTCTTATATATCATGGTTTATTTTCCAGACCATTTAAGATGAGTAGATGAGTTTGTAAATTAGATTAATGATTTCATTCTTGTTTATGTTTAGAATTTGTTGTTTGGTTCGACCTGTTTCATTATGGTTTAGTCCGATCAAGTGCAGGTGTCTTCATCAGAAGAATCTGGAACTTGTTCACCTTTGTGACCCTTTGGCCACTCTAACTCACAGGTATGCACAATGAAGAGGTACATCAAAACTGCTTCTGGAATGGATAAAGCAGGAAAAAATTAATATTCTTGGATTACCCTGCTGAAACTCAATTTTGGGTTAATATCCAAGTCCAAGTAAAAAAAAAAAAATACAAATGAAAAAACAAAAACTTCAAATGAAGATAGTCATTTATGATCCGAAGCATCCGGTTAGAACCATGCCGGCAGCTTGCTGGTGGCTACAAAAATTGTGATTGAGGTGGACGTACAATACCACGCATTTATGTATATATGCGTACTAATGTGTAAT